TGCCCTACAAGTCATGAACTAAAGGAGAAGGGTGTAACCCTGAAGTATTGAACTTGTAGTCAAAGGGGCAGTAAGCTCCGCCAGTCACGGCTCTGTCCACAAGTTTCTTTCTCCTGCTCGTACATTAGCCACAGTCTAAATCTCTCTAGCTGGGCTGGGGTTATGGATGTCCCAAGGCGCTGGCACAGGGCCTCAGCCATTGAATTCACTGATTTGTTTTATGATTGATATATGGCTGAGAGGGATTGAATTAGAGGTAGGTATGAGCCTGGAACAACTTTGCTCCTCCATTAAATGTGTCACTAGAGCAATGATTCTCAACCAGGGTGTTGGGGTATCCAGGGGTGTCTCAATATGATTTCAAGGGTGCTTTAAGGTGTGAGGAGATAAGTGCATACTCAGGCTCTCCCTGCCTGGCCTGTGCTCTGCTCCCACTGGCTGGCCCCTGTGCCAGGAAGTAATGTTAGTTTTTGAAATGGGGTGCTGCTCCTCAATTCACAGAAGTTATGGAAGGGGCCTTGAGTCTATCAAGGGGTGCCTCAGAGCTAAAGAGGTTGAGAACCACTGCTCTAGAGGGATACATCACAGTTGGCCCTTTCTTACCTCCCCTTGGTGTGATGCTTTGGAGGAAACTGGCTGCTGGGATATATGGTAGTTAATTTCTTATTCAGGATTGTCAGATTCCTTTAACTTGTTCCTTCCATGTCCCCCTGTACATTGGCTCTCTGGAGAGAGAAGGGGCTTTGAAGGAGCCTGAATGGTGGTGGGTAGTACAGATGTCTGGACTGAACAGATGTAACCTGGAGTCAGGACTGGGCATGGCAGCAGTCCAGTTTGTATCTTGAATGTCCCCAAGGTCAGTTGTGCCCAGATGCCGAGTATACAGAAACTGCTGCATGAAACTTGCTTCTTCCAGGTTGCGAGACCGTGCCCACAGGTTCTCTGAAGTGGGCTGAAGGCATCTTAGCTTGGGCTGCTTAATTAGTCCATTTAAACTGTGCTCCCTTTGCGAAACTTGTAGATTTTACAGATTCCAGCTGCACATAGGTATGCTGTTTTCACTGGGTGTAACGTTTGATAAAGTCAAAAGCCTGCAGGGAACAAGGGGTCTTTTTACAAGTGCTAGAAGAGCAGTATGTATGGAGTCTATGTTTTTGCACCTTTTGCACTGAGTCATAGTAGGAGTTGGTTCAGAACTATATAACTAAGGAAAATCAGAGAGATTCTTTTCTAGCAAGATTTAAACCTGCAAACTGTTATTTGTGGTGCTCTGACAGTGTTCCTGCTTCTCTGGGGTGGGTCAGGGCCATGGCAGGGCTCCCTTCAGGGCACGGAGAAAAACCATTCAGAAAAAAATCTTTCCTGCTGCAGTTGAGGATGCAGCGCAGGCCTGGCCTGGAGGAGTGTCAAGTGTCCCAGAAGGTCTCAGTCGTGGGAGCTGGGGAACACTGCACAAATCTGTGTAAACAGAATCCGGGTTTAATGCAGTCTGGTGAAGCACCTTCCATCATGCCCTGACCTGACATCCCTTCCCAGTCCTCTGGTTGGCACGCTCTT